TCTGAGCGACACCTGTCTTCGACTCCCGTAGAAAACCTGCAAAGCCGATGACGATGCCCCCACCTTTCTTAGGAGGGACCGCATGTGGTGAAGTCTGCCTGTCAGCCTCATCGCATCAATCAATCAGTCAATCAATCAATGCTTGCCCCCCTCCCCCCCCCCCGCACTTCTGGCGCCTCCACCTCTTCTCTTGCAAGGCCAAGAGGCCAACTGCACCCGTCAGCTTCTCTGTCTTCTCTCTGATTCGCCCTCTCCCACAGCATAAGATGCCAGCGGTTGGAGATATCGCCATGGAACACACTGCCGCCTGCGTCCGTATGGTTGCTCGAACCGGTCCTTATATTCTTACTTGCTCGCAACTACCGGTACGCAGGTAGGGTACTACTACTAGTAGGCAGGTAGAGACAGAAAAAGAGGCCGTCTGGTACTCTAACACCGTAATCTACCCTACTGCTACCAGATTTGGGTGGCAGGAGTCGCCCAGCTAGGCAACGCTATGCAGTCCATCTTTCACACCATACGACAGCCTGCTATGCCTCTGCCTCTGCCTCTCCATGGACCCTACTTCCAAATCACAACATATACATTCAACATACAACCCATCCTCACAGATTATCGGCCGTGAAGACAAGCAAGGCCATGCGATGTCTGATGAACAGGCCCAAACCGCCAATCGCCAACTGAAAGGCGGTAAGCCCCACCGCCAATTGATCTTCCCGCATTGGCCCAAACCACACTAACCACAAGTTGATTAGCGTGAAATTGGACGAGGATGCCACCCTCCCGTCTGCATCCACCTCGACATCAAGCATCCGAAGCCGGTGCAACAACTTGAGACTCGCCGCAATCGGTCTGCGCAACGGTTTGCGAAACTCGACGCGCGAGGCCTCGACAAGTCCAGTCCGTGCATTGAAGTGCGGAAGCCGATGTCGGGGACAGGGAACCAAGTGGAACAACTGAGGAGCCGAGTAAACAAAGTTGAACACCTGTGGTATCAGGAGTAAGATGAGCGTTTTGCTAAAGTGGCCCAGGATAGCCACCACGGCAAAGACCATGCCTGCAAAGTAGCAGTACGTATCGCCAACAAAGACCTTGGCTGGGTACCAGTTGTGCTTGAGGAGAGCGAGTGACACTCCGATGAACGGTAACAGCAGGTACAGGGAAAAGAGATGAGAGTCTGTCGCTGGATGAGGATAGGACGTATAGGGCGATAGGTACAGTAGATCGTTCCCAACAATAAGGACAGCAATCACCACTGATTGGACCACCTCGATGCCATTGATGCCAGCAAGGATGTTGATACTGTTTGGTGAGAAGATGGATATCGCGGCCATGTAAGCATAGTACAGCCACCCTAGACCACGTCAGCAAACAACCTCTCATTGAGCCTATGGTTCCGACATGTGTGCATACCGAGGTCGAAGAGCTCGCCGAGATAGGGCCTAAGCGGTAGCGGAACCACCATCTGGGTGACTCCAAAGTCGACAAAGTACACCACCAGCATCGGGATGGCTGCGAATGCCGGGATGAGTACCTTGTGTCGCCATCGGATGTCGAACAAATCATCGCCGACCCCAAGCAGCACGACCGACTGGAGTGAGAGGATAGCAGAGAGATACGACGCCAACTTGTTGTGGGGGAACCTGTGCAGTAGTCTTCCCGTTTCAATCTCCCCCATCTCTTTGACAACATCGCGATTGCCTCCGCCTGAGGTGGCAAGTACAATGTCCTTGTAGAAAGGCCACGGTATGAAGCATATCAGGATAGAGAGATAGACCATGGCGCACACAGCACCCATCATTTCAGGACTAGCACCATTAGTTTTCGGGCATAAGCATACCAAAACTCCGCCACTTACATCTCATGCTGCTTTAGTTTGCAAAGATCTCGACCCTTGAATCCGCGTTTCATGAATGCATTCCCGAGCCATCGTATCAGCGCGTAACTGAAGGCAAACCCCAACCCACTAAAGGCCAACGAGGCAATGAGCGGGGCGCCTTCGCCCTTCAGTGTGTTTGCCAGGATGCCAAAACATGCTATCGATAGAGAAGCCAATGAATACGTCTCCGTTGATGAGAGTTGAGTTGACATACTGAACGTTGCACACTGGGTCTGGTGTGGCTTGGCGGGTGAAAGGAATGCGGAGGCGTCCGTCTATCTACTCTACTCCAGGGCTCCAACAGAGAGTCGATAGGTTGATGCACGTACTGGTGCTGGCATGGCGCGTCGCGGCCACACGAGGTTTTGCGCAATACGCAGAAATGACGGCTGTGGATCTCGCTTTCGCCTGTACAAACGACAGATGAGGCGCGGTGAACAGATGGTAATGACAGAATAGGGCAAGCACCCACAAATACGCAAGGGATACCGAAGAATCGAGAAGGAGCGACGAGCAGCTGATTTCCCCAGCGTTTGCGATATTTGGTTGGCGTCAGCAGCTTGGTGTTGTTGGTTGTTGTTGGTTGCAGCAAAGGTGTTCTCATCGCTTCGCCTTGCCCGGCTTCTCCCTCCTTGCTAACCCAAAACGAGAGAAGCTCACGGTTGTCGGAGAGCATTGGCAGCTCCATTATGGATCCCACTGCACCCGCCCAGCATTCGCAGCTCGATACTATACAGCTCAATCTAGACGCTGTTACCCGCCGTCTTGCACGTCCGACTTTTCTAAACAAGCTCACGCCCTCGCGGTTGCCCTCATCGGCCGTAAGCGATTCGTCTTCCTTGAGCCCCACACGCGACGAGGCTCGGTTGCATTCTGGTCCACTCTCTCATCCACGCCATTCCCATCTCAATCTTGCAGTCACGTTTGAAGATGTGCTTGAGCACGTTGATCTGGTCTCGCCGTTGATCCAGGAGCCCTGTGCTGACGGCAGTTTCAGTGTCGTGGAGAGGCGTATTGTCGAGCTGCTTGAGTCGCACTTTGTGGGCGCTCGTCGAGCCTGTGCAAAGATGGCAGCATTTCAAAACTTCTCGCATGGTCACCAGGATCTTGTACTTGCCGTTGACTTTAACTATTTCGGCACGCGCATGGTCACTGCGAGCTCCGACCATCGCCTCAAGATCTGGGACAAAAAGGACGATTCATGGACCCTCGTCGAGAGCTGGAAGGCGCATGATGCCGAGATTGTCGATGTGAGTGATATAACGTTCAGCCGCAAACCTCGATCCGGACACTTGCATGTGATTTTTGCCACTGTGTAGCATCCCACTAACCAAGGGGTAGGTCAAGTGGAACGGCCCCTTTATGGGGGAGGTCGTTGGTAGCATCGGCGAAGATGGTCGCTGCAAGCTCTGGCAAGAGGACGTTACAGAAGTGCCCATGTCAGGCAATCGATTCAAGCTCATCACGAATCTTGCCTCGACGACGCATGCGCCTTTCATGTCGCTTGACTTTAAGAATATAATGCAGGAGACATGGCTGGCACTGATTACTCGCGATGGTCTGATGACTGTCTACGAGCCTCAAGATCAGAGTAGTCTGAACGAGTGGACAGTGCTGGCAGAGCGTTGGGTCTCCGAGCACAATCCACCTGAGCGTCAAGAAGAGGTAGGCTTCAAGGTCGTGTTTCACAAGGAGAAGCTACCATGCTGGACAGCAATCATGGCCGGCTTAGATCGCAAGTCGCTTTCTTTGGCTGTCGCAGCCATGAAGGATGTGTACGTCTTCCGAACAGACAAATCCAAGCGTTTCTTCCAGGTAGCGAAGCTGGAAGGCGCCCGACAGATTATTCGCGACTTGGCTTGGGCCAATGGCTCTATGCGAGGCTTTGACATACTAGCAACAGCTAGCAAAGATGGGGTGATTAGGATCTACGAGTTGTCCACACCATCATCTGGTGCCTCCTCTGCAAAAGGCACCACCTCAAGTCTGCCCGTCGCAGAACCGGCATCACCTCATTCCGGTCTCCGAAAGAATGCGCCGTCTGGCATAGGAGCTGGACTGGCAGGAGCTTCAAAGGCACCGGAGGTGTCTCATGATAATGAGCCGGGGCGAATTAGGCAGATTGCCAAGCTCACAGATGAACTGACTAGTCATCAAGGGGCAGTTTGGCGCATTGCCTTTTCACAGATGGGTAAGTCGACGTTGAATTTTCTCCATCAATGCAAGCACTAATCGTATCTCAGGGGATCTCATGGTCACGACTGGGGATGACGGCTCTGTCCGCACCTGGAAAAAAGCCGTCAACGGTCGTTGGCAAGAATACGCTGAGATAGAAGTAGCAGGTGATGCTTGAGTTTATATCTCTCTCAAGCTACCTTTTCTGACATGAAATTATGTCGCCGCCTAGGGTGTGTCTCATTCCAATTACGGCTTTCATGAAGTGAGGTAGATATGCGTGCTTGCAGTCTAGCTCAGTGGTTCTCACACAGGATTGAACACGATTAACACATGGCCATCAAATATCCCAAATGCAGCTGGGCTTGCTTACGAAATGCAATAGACATGGTGAAAAGAGATCATCTGCGAGGCACTTGCTCAGAGTCAGGTGATTTGAAGACTCAGTGCGAGGAAGTTGTTAACATTCTTGATATTCAACGGAAAATCTATGGTCCGATGAGTTTATGGTATATTCATTTTACAGAGATAGTACACGCAGAGACATTGTGGATAGATGTTGACATGTGAGGCCTTACGCCAGTATGAGTCAGCTTTGCCGCCCTCACGCACCCAGCTACCGGTATAGCGAGACCTGTACTATTACACGAGTTGCCTGCAGCGTTCCTTCACTCGAGTCGAAAATATTTGGCGCGACGTATGATATGTTGTATTACCTAAGTGGCTTTATCACTCCTCACAGGCTACAGAAGGGTTTATTGATCATCTGAGTCCTCTACGATACAACTTTGAAGTCTGACATGCCATACTCTTAACACTCCTGCCACAGGCTGCCACACTGGACACGCATTAGGTGCCTAGCATGTGAAGATGACTGCACACTACACCTTTGATCAATCTTCCAAAGACATGAACACACTTAGACTAGTCTCCGAAATAGTTTACTGGCTCTATTCCATGCATCCGAGCCATCCGTTTCCCATTGCGCAACCTGGAATGTCCGGAGTCGAGCGGAAGCTTGGCACACATCACAGTAGCTGTCATTGTCTTGGACCCCACGTCCACTTCACTATATTTTCACATTGGCAATACAAGTTTCCGACTTACTAAGAGAGATCTCACCATCCCATTCGCAATGCCACTGCTACCCCAGTCCCTCTTCTCTTCCCTTTCCTACTTCCTTTACACGACGTCACGGCCCTACCTCTGAACACCGTTGGCACATCTCAATTCCAACCACATCCTCCTCTCTCCTATCTCCTCACCATGCCCTTTGAAATTGCCGAAAAGATTTCGGCATACCATCTCATCCCACAAACCGTAGACGTAGCCCTCGACCCCCCAGAATCATACTTCTTCATTACAGACTTCCTCATCATAGCCTGCGGTATTTTATATACACTATGCTACCTCTTCTACACCATCCGCACATACAGCGACCGCTACCTCGCCGGCACAGTGCAATTCCTCTCGGCTACCATGGCGTATGAGATCTACTATGCCTACGTGTGCACCACGACGGCCTTTCAGCGCGCCTGTTTCTTCGTGTGGTTTTTGTTTGACATCACGTTTGCCGCTGTGGCGTTGCGGTATGCATATGCGCCTGAGGAGCGGAGGGCTACGATAGAGAAAATGGCGTGGCAGATCCCCGCGTGGATGGCTCTGTTGTGGTATGCGGGCGTGTTGTGGCCGGATGAGAGGGAGCAGGTTACGGCGTTCTGGACGGGTTTGTATTTGGAGTTGCCGATTGGATGGGGGCAGATTTGGTATCTGATCAAGCGAAAGGATACAAAGGGGCAGAGTTTGGAGATTTGGTAAGTTGCCTCCTTGCTGGCTTATACGCCCTCAGGCGCATGCAAATGGAACAAAAGAGGGGAGGCTGACAAGATGCCATTTGCAGGATCACACGCTATCTGGGCTGCATTACGGCTTTCCTGGTCTTCATCTGGCGGTATGTGAATGTCCCAGAGAATTGGTCGTACGTGAATACCTGGCCAAGTATTGGTGGCATGGTGATTACGCTGTTGCCTGAGACGGTGTATCCGTTCTTTTATATTTGGGCACATGAGAACGAGAAGGCGAGGGAAAGGGCTCGGAGCGCTGCCAAAACCATAATACCAATTAAGATAGAACAAGGGGAGACCAAAGGCTAGCACAGCGGTCAGGTCTGCAGACTATCATATGAGGGGTTATCGAAGAGGCTTCAATCAGTAGTGGGGTACCGGTATTGGGTACCTACCTGGTGATGTATAATGTATTTGAACGCTGGATTCTCGGCGGCACACGCGAGTTTTCATATTGATTTGCATACCATTTAAAAGTCTGCCTCGGCAGCGGTCTCTGGTGCCAGCGCACATACATTGTGTTTGCGATTCGTAATGACAGTGTCTGGAGTCTTGCCGACAATCACATGATTCTTATCTCTACCTAATCTCGCACAAGCCTTTCCCCCGCGGAACAAGCTCTCCTTGCAGTGACGATCTTTACCAAATCGGGACTCCAGCCACAGCACGGTCCATTTTGCGCTCCTTCTACTTGCTGTCGATGACGGCGCAGATCTGGCTCGTTCCCCTCAGCCACTAGCAGTTCGTCGCATCGCATCCGGTCATTGAGTTGGCACTAGTGACACTCGAAAACATCATTCCATTTGGCGGACACTTGTGCCTACGACTCCTTTCTTCGTCTGACCTCCTTGTACGCTTCCCACTGCCGGCTGCGCAAACTGAGGACCCCCTAAATCTATCGCAATGGCGCAACACGGTGAAGCTCAGGACTATTATACGAGCGGTGCACCGCCACAGCAGCCTCAAGGCACGTACTATGTACAGCAGCAGGCCCGGTATGGACAACAGCCGCAGTACAATCAGCAGCAGCAACCACCGCAGTATGGACAGAAATATGCCGCACCGCAAGGACCTCCGCCGATGCAACAACCTGCTGGCTATGAACAGCAGAGCTATGGCGATAACAAACAGACCTTCGAGCAACAATTCAAGATTGCAAAGCCCAAGTACAACGACTGGTGGGCTGGCGTGCTGTTGATTGCTGTGTTCTTGGGATATGTCGCTGTATCTGTCATTTCAATCCGAGGTTACTGTGAGCACACTGCCTGATCTAATTTCAGAATACATGAATTGACTTATTGTGCAGCGCAATCCAACAGTGGAGGCATCTACGGCAATGCGAACCAGTTTGCGCTCAACTCGAACACAATCATTCTCTTCGCTTTTGTGCTTGGCATGGCCACCGTCTTCAGCTACGCGTACATGTGGGCGGCAAGGAAGTTCACCAAGCAGTTCATCTGGATTACCGGTATCCTCAACATCGTCTTTGGTTTCGCAACGGCCATTTACATGTTGTCCAGAAGATACTGGTCTGGTGGCATTGTCTTCCTGATCTTCAGCGTCTTCTACGTCTTCTGCTTCATCTCATGGAGTAAGATACCCTAAGCAGCGGGACAGGATTGCATGCGCTAACAGCACTTTTAGTCCCCCGCATTCCGTTCAGTGTCCTCATGCTCCAGACTGCAATCGACGTTTCGAAGAAGTACGGACATACCTACATCGTCTCGCTCATCGGAGGTATAGCAGCTGCAGCACTTGGTGCATGGTACTCGGTCACTCTCGTAGCCATCTACGTCCAGTATACGCCGAACCAGAACAATCCATCATGCAACAATGGTGCAGGCGGGTGTGGCAACGGCAAAGTCATCGGCCTCATCGCCTTTACGACCTTTGCCATGTATTGGATTTCTGAATGGCTCAAGAACACCATCCACACCACCATCTCTGGAGTGTACGGTTCCTGGTACTTCAACCCCAACGCGATGCCCAAAGGCGCCACACGTGGTGCTTTCAAGCGCGCCGTTACCTACAGCTTCGGCAGTATTAGTCTCGGTAGCTTGCTCGTTGCCATTATCCAGTTCTTGCGCCAGCTCTGCTCAGCTGCTCAGCGCAATGCTGCAAGCGATGGCAACGTCGTTGGTGCCATCCTGTTTTGCGTGCTCGGTTGTCTGATCGGTATTTTGAACTGGGCCGTGGAGTTTTTGAACAGATACGCATTCAGCTACATTGCTTTGTATGGCAAGAGCTACATTGCAGCAGCCAAAGATACCTGGAAGATGATCAAGAACCGTGGCATCGATGCGCTCGTCAACGAGTGTCTCATTGGCCCCGTGCTCTCCATGGGATCAACATTTGTCGGATATTCGTGCGCGCTGCTCGCATATCTTTACTTGATCTTTACATCCCCTGCGTACAACTCGGATGGTGACTATACGCCTGTCGTGGTTGCCTTTGCTTTCTTGGTAGGTCTTGGGCCGAGCATGAAGTCGATATGTTCGTTGTTCAGTCAGCTGACTAACTTGATTTCCAGATCGGTCTTCAAATCTGCAACATCTTCACTACCCCTCTCGGTAGCGGTATCGATACCATCTTCGTTGCTATGGCGTGGGACCCTGAGGTACTCATGAGGGAGCATGGGGACCTATACCACCGCATGATTGCAGTGTACCCCCATGTTCAGCAAGCCATCCATGCTTGAAGCGGTATGGGGAGTGAAAAGGGAAGCTTTGTTCCGAGACTACAATCGACTAGCGACAAGTTTTAATGCGTAATATCCTGAAATCCCTCAACAGTCTTCTGGCTGTGTGAGAAAAAAAAAACCGTGGCTTCGACGATCTTCGATGGGCCAACGGCGAGACCATGTTGACAGCGCAGACCGGGTTGTCTTGGCAGACTAAACGCGGGAACGGAAGCAACGCGATTCAAGTTCAAGCCATGACGTTGAGAGCTTTCCATCCCGCAAAGAAATTTGAGGCTGGGTGTTATTGTTGTTGTTGTTGAGTAGACATGGCAAATTCAGCGAATGGCCGCGTTGGCATTCACGGCCGAGAGGACCAAGCCAAGCTGCATACCGGGCAACTCATGTCTACTCTAGGGATCCTGTTAGGCTATAGCATCGCGACTCCTGGTATTACGATGCATCATGGTGTTGGTTCACCAGTTCCAACACGGTCCGACACGCGCGATGAACGGTAAGTAGTACTATTAGGTAGGTACTAACGACTCCCACCATCATCACCGCCACCACCGCTACTGCTTCCACTACGATCGTACTACTGCGGTTGTTTAACAAATGTCACCTCAAGCTCGTCAGCCTTCCCACGCGTGTCTCGGCCTTATTGCTCCTGCGTCCCCCTTGTGAAGCGCGTCCCTGCTGTCTCTTCTAGCGGCCAATAGCACCAGACGTCATTGCGGGGCATTCGTCGCCAGCTGTCGAGCGGCCATGGTGCGCCCCCCAACGTGCACATGTGAAGTCTTGAACCACCCTACTAAACCTGTTCCCCCCTCACCAACTCCTTTTTTGCTCACAACTCACCCGTCTTCACACCGCTCCATCACACGCCAGGTAAGCGTTCCCCCTCATTATTGTCATCATCAGCATCCTGTTGTCTCTGCACTGGCCCCGTTCCTGCCTGTTGCGTGTGTCACAGCGCTCGCCCCTCCCCATAGCTCCTGCTGTTCCAGAACATACCCCGCTACAGCACTGGCCCTGGCCTCGATCTGCTCGCTATAACCCCTCTTACGTCTTCGTCCCCTCCCTCCCCGAAAATCTTGCCATCTTCTTCTTCTTCTTCTTTTCTTCTCTCTTCTCTACAAGCTCTCCAAGACCAGCTTGATTAACAGTCTCTGGGCAGCTCTCACCTACAAACCTTTTACCCACACAGCCTACAACTCACAACACACAGCAAACGCCCAACATGGCCTACGACAAGAAGGCA